ACACGAAGCTTGTTGTACCACCGTTTCGCTTGATTCGTTGACTTCAATAAATTATTGCTTTGCTAAGGTATGCCATTGTCAATACTAGAGCTTTGTATATATGTCGAGTTTTTTTGTGACCAATATGAAATCCGAAATGAAGACCTCTTTGTAAACGTAGAATCACAACTGAGTTAACATTAACCTACGTTTCACCAACGAGAATAAATCTATTACTAGTTATCTCTTATCGTGCGGTTGGAAATGAAGCATGAGGGTCCCCACAGAAAATTCCTTAATGCAAAAAATAAGTAAGTAATTGTTTTTTAACTAATTCAATGAAATCTACATGACAGCGACAGGACAGGGACCATACTATGAAAGCACATTCAAGTGCTGATCCAAGGAAAGACTATATATTGTCTTTTCGCTATATTGATATTGTTTTAGTCTCAAAGGAGATCATCAATAAGGCTGATAATGACATTTTGCAGTCGATATTGAGGGATAACGCATATATAATCACTTTGCAATTGCAAAGGAGCTCGCCATCTGCCATTCGGCTGCTCAAGAACACATCAAACATCTTTAAATGCGTCAAATTTTTCTCGCGATGCTAACGACTTACGATAAGGGCATATTAGTTTCGTGCAAATGTATGTAACACACAGAAACACATCGCCTTTTTATACGAATAGATTAAGAAGCGGCTTAGACTTAAGTATAACTGTCGGTCTATCTCTCCGATGACCGCCCACGTATTCTTGTGTTCAACGTAAGTTTGGAAATTTTTGAAAATTTTTTGTTGAAATATAGCGCGCTTTTGATTCGAGAACGAAACGCAATTCCAAATAGATTGGATGGTACCATTTTGGCGACGTCTCTTCATTCATAAATTCGCATTTCAAAAAAGCTTAATACATGGAAAACTTTGTAATTTTTAATTGCTTTCGAAAATCGTCGCGACATTTTATTTTGCCATAGTCTAAAAATTCAAAGATTTGAATTATAGGTAGAAATGATTAAAGCCGAAGTGGTATAACGTGTTTAAAAGTCAATATTGCCCGCGTTTAGCACGAATTTTTAACGTTATCCAAACAATTTATCTTAGGTTTCACTGACATGTTTGTCATTTGCATAACTCCATTATTCCCTTTTTTATAACCACCGTTGAAAGGTGAAGGATATATTCATTTTATCAAAACGCTTGCAACATCCAGAAAGAAGCTTCAAAGATACCACACAACTTACATATTCTCGATCAGCGTCAAATTCTGAAATGATCTAAGCATATCCGTCTGTCCATCGGTACGTGATATGTATTTTCTTGGTAGTAAAAATTAAAATATAGGCAAAAATATTTAAAAAAAGAAAATTGGAAATTTGGCAAATCGGTCAAAACGACCACTTAAGGTTCGATATAAACCGAACACAGGTCTGTTTTCAAACGGAAAAAATGTGGTTTTTTGCCAAAAAGAAGGAAGGAAGGAAAAAGGATCTGCATTCTATGGGTCCTCTTAAAGTAACTGTACAAAAACAGGAAAGGATCAACCACGCCCACATATTATAGAGTATCGAAAGCCCTTTTTTTTTGTTTGTTTTTTTTGTTTGTTTTTAAGACGAACAGGATGGGTGCAAAAAATTCGAACACAGCCTAAATATAATTTTCTTACTTGTTCTCTGCCTGTGTGATTCATTCTAATATCCCATTTTTTTATTTAATATAAAAAAAATTGAGTGTGATTTCTTCTTTTTTTTTTTTAAAACATTCAAAATGACACTTTTTGAACTCTAAACGTGACGTGAGATAACAATGAGTAAAAATAAGAGAGACATTGCCAAGAAACTGGCTACGCGGTTATATGTAATGCTGGCAATATATGTCAGATTGTCGTAAATAACATACGTCCTGATGTTGGCAGTGGCTTTACCTTTTGCGTAACAGATATTCACCGCCAAAACTCTCAAGAAATGAATGATTGGCTTACTTGGCTACCTGACCACAAAAGCACATATATGTATATAGATTTTTATTAGCATTTATATCAACTAATAACGATAACAAAATAATAATAACAACAAAAAGTAAAACGAAAACAACAACAACAACAACAACAATAACAAGAACAACAGTAGCAACAATAGCAAGTTGAGTACTAGTTGACCCAGTTTATTTGCCGGTTAGTAAAGCATACAATACGCCATGCTATTCGCATCTATTATGACCATCGTTATAATTGCAACTTTTTTTTACATTATCCAGGAGAGTAAGCAAGTAAGCAAGTAAGCAAGTAAGAAAATGATGTAAATAAGCAAAAGACTCTCTTTTTCTTCTTTTTCTCTATCTCTCTCAAAGCTTTTATATTTTATAAATTCGGGGACAAATTACCCAAAAGCAAAAACAAATGAATCGCGTATGTTGTGCGATTGCATTTGAAATTGAAAGTTTCGTTTTATTTTTATAGTCTTTTTTTTTTTTTTTTTT